CCCATTTATCCCCTCCCTCCCTCCCAACCTCCATTGCCGCTCCCCCCTCCTCCTCCTCGTCTCTGACGGACCACGCACCTTGATCGATCGGCCCGCCTCTTCTTCCTCTCTGGAGCTGGAGGTGGCGCGCTGGATGGTCGCTGAGGCGGTGGGCTTCATGATGCCCCGCGCGGCGGACGGCGGCACCATGGCGCCGGAGCTCGTCACCCGGGACTTCCTCGGCGGCTGCCAGGCGCCCGCCCCCGCCGCCGACGACCCCAGGCACGACGCCGCCGCCCTGCAGGTACGCGCCGCTCCACGGTCCATGCTCTGTTTCCTCTCACTCTCTGTTCGCGTGTGCTTCGTCTTCTTCTTCTTCCGTGCTCAATTGCGATTAGAGTAAGACTTTTCAATTTGTTCGGTCAATGGGCCGATTAGTCTCCTTTTAATCGTGCGCGCCGAATTACTAGTTGTTTTGTCGGCAAATTTGACCGCCGACTAGTTATTAGTTCCATTTGTGGGCTTGTCATACAAGACGGTGAGGTAAACTTTGGGCCTGAGGCTATGCAATTCCCATGTGCAGGAGCCTTCTCCAACTTTTGGTCTTTCTTTTGTGTGGGAGGGCTATGGATGAATAGATCAAATAGACTTGCATTAGTTTTGTACTGGTAGTAGTAATATCTTGAGTATTTATTATTGTACCAGTACTGTACTGTATTTACAGGAGAGTACTAGTAGCAATTGTTCCCTGGGTGGAGTAGATTATTCGCAGTTAATTTGTCTGCCATGTTCCACCGGCAAGTTTAATTATTCTGAGTGATCTTGCCCAATAATGCAGTAGCCTCACTTAAGACTTCATTCACGACATGGCCATTGAAATCTCAACCATGCAAATAGGAGTGGTACCCTCTGCAATAACAGCTACTCCGGTGTACTGGTATTGATCTTCGAATACTTACTGCGGTGATTTCTTTGCGTGCGTGCAGCCCGGCAAGCCACCGCTGCAGAAGCACCTCAGCCCGCCGCCGTCGGCCAGGGGGGACCTCAACCTCTTCCCCGCCGCCGGCGCCGCCATGGCGCCGTTGCCGACGATGGCGCCGGCGGCGGACTGCGCCGCCACCACCACGTACCACAGCGTTTGCACGATCGAGAAGGTCAAGACCGCGCTGGAGCGGTTCGAGCGCGGCAAGCAGGGGCACCACCACCAGCAGCAGCAGCAGCAGCAGCAGCACAGCGGCGCGGGCGCGACCGCGGGCGCCTCCCCGTCCTCCTCCTCGGTCACCACCTCCTCCGTCAAGCGCCGCGGCGACGTTGCCGTGGAGCGGGGCGACGGCTGCGACTCCCCGTCCGCCAGCGCCGGCGGCGGGGGCATGGTGGCCGCCGCCTGCCCGCGCTGCTTCCTCTACGTGCTCATCGCCCGGAGCGACCCCCGCTGCCCGCGCTGCGAGTCGCACGTGCCGCCGCCCCCGGCACCGGCCCCCAAGAAGAAGCCAAGGATCGACCTCAACGTCGGCTTCCTCGGCACCTAGCCCGGCTAGCAGCTACTCCAACCACGTAGCCAAGCCAAGCCAAGAAGAAGTAGGTCCTCCGTCAAGATGGTTGTCGTCCGTCCTCGTCCTCGGCGCGTTAGGTAGGCAGCAGGCAGGCCTCCGGCGCCCGGATTGGCCACGACGACGCCATTGTTTTTCTGATGCCACCGACGGATTCCGGTAGGGAGGTGGAGGTGCTCCGATCAAGATTTTTTGCTTGTCCATTTCCGAGTATGGCCGGCCGTCCCCGATGATTCTGTCATGTCAGATCAATCAAACACTCGATAGAACATGAATGAATGAAACTACTATTCCTGCTGGTAGAACCGAACTCCATCCATAATTGCTCAAAGCGTCTGCCTGCGTGCCAATTGTTCGATCGTCCGTTGCTTCTTCCATGTGCGTGCAGCTTCAGTTATTGCCGCCAGCGGTGCTCATCTCGGCATCCCATTCATTCATGGCGGACGACGCGACCAGTTCGCTCTTAGTTAGGGGGTGTCACGGGCTTCCTCGCCTCCTTTTTAATGCCGGGGACGACGACGACGATGATGATGACGGGGAGTTTGACGTCGCAGCTGCTGTAGCAGCCTTGATGAATGAGCAGCAGTGCAGTGCGGTTTGTGATCTAGTGCTAGCCCGGCATGAATGAATGCCGGTTAATGGCCGATGTGATGGTTGTCCGTGCCCGGTTGTCTTCTGGTAGGGGATGACAGGGAAAGCCAAGCTGCTGAGCCTGTGTGAGGTTTTAATGGGTCGCAGAGGCCGCAGGTTACATGTCATGCATTGCAGTTCGACAGCGTATCCATGTACTCTGTGGGCCGTACCCCCGTCCGTGCCTACCATTTAACGGCCATGAATGATGTCTGCTCCCAAATCTAAAATGTACTCTACCATCGTCGAATCAGTCGTAGTGCTGGTCACGTATACATAGGTCAGGATAGGTAGCTTAGGAAAATATTTCCTCCGTCCAGAATTACTCGTCGCATAAATAAATGTATCTATACGCTATTTTTAACCCACATGCTCTGCCAACTTGAAAAATTCAAATTTAAACATTCCAACGATGTGGAGGTGCTGTGATGGATATCGTGGGGTTTCGTCTTGTGCTGGGCCCGCCATATATCGCCTTTAGCGAGCTGGAGCCAGCTTCGGCGCCGTGGTGGGCTGGCCCATCACCAAGTTAGAACAGTCAAAGCAAGGGAGCGCTTGCTTACTGCAAGCGTTCTTTTTCGGCGAGCAAGCGCTGGCTTGTTTCAACATTAGCTTTTTTCGTTCATTTATGTTTCAAAAATCTATAGCTGACCACGAGCACATCATCTCCCAGATGAAAAGTTATTTCGAATATTAGCAAACAATTTATTTTTTTTGTATATTAAGGATGAACAAGTTTTCTATTTTCGTGCAAAATATTATGACAATTTGACATTGGGGGAGCTCTGGGCAGAAAAAAGAATTGCACTATCATCAAAGCAAATGTACATTACTACCTTTGTGTCAAAATCTAAGACATTTTCTAGAGACGGAGGTAGTATTAGGCAACACTTTTGCTAAGTCTCAGTCGACTAAGACTTCGTTATGTCTCAGTTGATATTATATAACTTTGATCTTGCGTGGAGATTCATACAAAAAAATTGAGCTTTTTTTTCTTACATACCATATCACTTGACTGAGACTTGGTAAGACGTAGCCACACCCATTAGGTAGATATACATGGATCTCGGGATAGGTAGGTTATTTAAGGAGCCAGTGCGATTTTGAGTTGATGTTTGGGCCACGTAGGGTTTCAACTGGTGTAGTACGGTTTGTAAGTGGCACGTGGGCCTTGTATGCTAGGGCTATGTTTTCCCGTACGAAGTCACTAATTAAGGAGTACTCATTGCAAATATCACTCCCACCTTCCTAGGGTGCGACAAGTCGCGCGCTGCATGTGCGCCACTTGTCGCAACCTGGGAGTTTTTCCTTTTTTCATATATCTGTTTATTCGAAACATTTTATCTCTTAAACCGTGCGTCTAAATCTAGAACCATTTTCACCGTTGGATTCCTCATGCCGAGATCTTCAAAACTAGATTCCATGTTGATAGGTTTTAACGAACTTTTTTTCACGAAAAAACCGGACAAAAAATCGGACGGAAAAACCGAACCAAGAGCATGAGTTTCTTCCCTTTCCGAAAGACGCACGCCTGTGCTTCTCGCGAAATCACAACCGAGCCTCTCCCGGAAGCAAAACCGTGCCTCTCGCAGAAGAAAAAAAAGAAGAGAAAGCATGTTTTTTTTCGTTTCTGAGGAGGCACTGTCGTGCCTCTCGCGAAAGCACAACCATGCCTTTCGCGGAAGCGAAACTGTGCCTCTCGTGAAATCAAAAAAACAGAAAATGCGTTTTCTTCCGTTTTCGAGAGGCACGGCTGTGCCTCTCGCGAAAGCACAACCGTGCCTCTCAGAGAAGCAAAACCGTTCCTCTCACAGAAGAAAAAAAACATAAAACACATTTTTTTCCGTTTTCGAGAGGCACGACTATGACTTTCGCGGAAGGAAAAAAAAACAGAAAACCCGTTTTTTCCGTTTCCGAGAGGCATGGGCATAACTCTCGGGAAAGCAAAATCGAGAAAACACGTTTTTTCGTGATTTTTTTCCAAAAGCTAAGGAAGACCGACGGAAAACCAAAACGTCGAAAAATACCCATTTAAAAAGCCGAAAACACGTGCGGAAAAATAAAATAAAAATTCGGTGAGAGTGTTTAGAATACAACACATGACGGGCGGTTAAAAGCGCGCCAAGTGACGCTGATTATTCTAAGGCTTCCGAAGAAACGCTCATCAACTAGTTGCTCCCCTTCCCGTATCCATTCCTATTAGGAATTGCCAACGGGCGATGAGAAGCGCTCCGGCCCATCAACTCTGCTGCATTCGTTGGTTGTTCTTTCCCTCCGGGGAGCTCCACTGGGTCGCTTTGCTGTGTTTTTTAAGGTTTTCTCTTGGTGTTCTCTCATAATATTTTCGGATTTTTGGTTTTCACTGTTTCTTTTTATAATTTTGTTTCTCTTTTTGTTATACTTTTGTTTCTCTAGTTTTCTTTTACTTTTATTTTTGTTTCTTTATCGGGTTTTTTTACTGATTTTCCTTGGGTATGTTCTTCACTTTTGTGCAAATGATTTTTCTAAATGTGACAAACACATTTTTGAACCCCGTGAATCTTTTTTAAATGTAAAGTACATTTTCTTGAATTAGATGAACATATTTTTTTACACCGTATAAACAATTGGTAAATGACATGACCATTTTTTTTCATACGTGCGACATTTTGGAAATGTCATAAACAACTTTTGTACAAATGATTAACATTTTTCATACACAACACAAATATTTTTCACACTGAACCTATTTCAAATGCAAGGTAAATAACTTTTAAAATAATATAAAGTACTTTTGTAATATATATCTCTACTCTTATAAAAAACCAAGTTGATGATGATGGTGTGTCTGCCATCTTGCAATATAGACCGTCCGATCTACATCTGACGGATAGAAAGCAAACTATGATAATTTTACAAAAAAAACCGCACCTCTCTCCACATTTACAGATAAGGCCTTGCCTCATTCATCTTATCTCCCACAACCTCATTGCTAAGCAATTAAAAAAGGAGGTCTCTGGAACAACCTGGCCAGGTGGCCGCTGTGGGCGCCGTCCATCCCCATGCCTCCGTCCAGTCCGACCACCAGTCACCACCACGCTCCACTCCTCCTTATCTTATCTCTCATCTTTCTCGAGATATCATTTTTTCGATGAAATTCTCGAGATACCATTTTTCCGATAAAATTCTTGAGATATCATTAGTTTTTACACATGGGATTACTCTTGCATGGGTCAATCACAACATGTGTTTTGTAAAGAAATGCATCTTGATGTTCCATGCAATGCACGGGCATCTTGCTAG